CTGTCGTCAATGTGTAATTAAACTGGCTCAACTTTTAGTGGGAATCAAGTACATTGAAGAATCGACCTCGATTTACTGACCTTTTCTATACATCACGATCGGCTGAGACCTAGGAGGATTCTTCGATGCTGTCAACCGATAACACACACATTGCATATATGCCAACAAAAGATTTGGAACAGAAACTGACTTGACCATATGACCATTAAGAACTGTTTACGAAATAGAAGACAAAATTGCAAGAGCCAGCCGTTACTCGTTTTTTTCCAGTCTTTATTTATATCTCTATTAGGAACTGCAATAACTGTTACTATGCAATTCTAGTGGAACGCAAGATATATTTTATTTGCACCGATAAGTACTGTTGTTTAATTGGACAAACTGCGTAAACATTGTAACGACAACAGTACGTTATTAGTTAAGTAAAAAATAAGCCTATCGAAGCTGTATCTATGCTAATATTTGGTAGTTGGAATACATTAGTTTATCTCTTATCTACCCTATTAATAGATGACACAAATTACACTTGCAGTTCTTATTTGAAACGTGCACGAACAAAGTTGCAAATGTACCTGCGAATCCGAAATTTCCACAGGATCGGCACAGACAATCCAGCGGACGCATTCTGAACATGGCGGTGTTGTCAGTGATCCCTCATAGGTGTAGTACCGAGACAAATCTTTCAAAAAGAAGAAAATAACTTCATTATGGTGGCAAATCAACGTATTCGCCCCGTATTTGGAAGGCTGTATTTTTGGTGCACATACTGCTAAATTTCCAGGGATTTATTTGAGAGCCTGGTAAATGACTTTGGCTAATTTGAATGAAAAACAAAGATGATGAATCGCGCCATGCACGTCCGTCAAACCATCACAGTAACTGATTGCAACTAAAAGCAGTTAAAAAACTTTGAAAGTAAACACGTTTTTTTGAGGACGCTAATACCCCGGTCAAGATTATATACATAAAACTTCCGACATTGAACAACGGATCCCATTTGCCCCCTATTATTTAACTTGGGCAAAAGATTCTACAGAAAACTTAATTTGACTAGGAGTTAGTTAGGGGTGCAGAATTTAACGAGAAAGATAGCTGAAACCAATTGCGAAATGCTTCAGTACAATAAGTAATCTTTACAGATAAATTTACCCGAGCAATCATATTTTCACACTGTTCTACTCACGACGTATTTACAGCTTCTCAGATACGACCCTATGCTTTTTTACTCTGACGAGGACAGTCTACTTTTCGTATTAATTATTCTTAAGCGTTACAATACTGACCAAACTCCAACTGTCCAAATGTCTCCACAATGAATGAAGCTTCAGCAGGGTAGTTTGCACTCAATACCGACATACAAATGTGCAATTATCAAAAGATACCTTTACCAATACTTTTTTGCAACGCTTAAAAGCCTAGCTCGCGACACTACCAAAAACGCTTCTGCTAGATAATTCATTTTAGAAACGTCAATTAAACCAAGAAGTCTTAAACACAAACCGGTTCTATTTTATAAAAGCACAAAAACAAAACTTACTTGGTAAAAGCTCGAAGATATCAATTGACGTATCCAGGACGACTTCACCTGTATTATGCGATTTTTCTATGGCTTTCAACAGTGGTTTTAATCCCTTGTTTTCTTTGGCTCCCGCCTAGATGAAATACAATTCCGAGATATTTATCTTTCGTAGGCGACATTGAATGCATATTTTAAAGTTCAAACACGCTTTATTTTACTTTCTTTACATCGTGTAAAATTCTTGGACTCCCCTCATTCAGCCGTTGCTGCAGAATGTTCAGCATACAGATTTAATAATTAGTGTGCACTTGGTAAGTTATTTTATTGTATTCGACATACGTAAACTGAACAAAAATATTCAACTAACTCACATGTAGGAATACTGCAAGCACACAAAGGCCTTCAGGATCCTCTAGTGCGTCATTCTGTGCAGAGTAACGTTCGGCAAGAAATACCAAATGCATTTCACCGGAATAGCTGAAACCGTCGACGTGATGCTCTGAACCCCATTTGCTTTCATGTCCCCAGTGAAAATGAAACTGTTGCAGAATATACCGTTCTCGTAGAGGTCCACCTTCTATGCATGCAGCTAATGCAGGAAAAAATATACGATAATCTAAATAAGTACGGCATATAAAAAGGAAAATTACATTCAATCTATAAGGAGGTACGGGTCCTGCTCCGGGGCCCAAAAACGTAAGTTGATGAGCTGATATTTATCTTAATGCTAACAACACGACGTTTGAACTAACTTTTAGCTCATGCAAAAAAGCAATGTAATTTTGTTAAACAGTGCAATCAGATTTATAAAATTTAGCGTTTCTGTTTCTATGTCCAAATGGATTAGTTTTCTAAAAAGTACAGCTTTGGTCTCAGCTGAGACCAAAGCTTTACTTTTTAGAAAACCCCAAAAAAATTACTTTTTGGTTTGTCCGTAATATTTATCCGATGGACATCTGATAGAGAGAAATAAATAACGTTGGATGGCTGAAGGCGCGTGTATTAATGGAGAAGTAGAGCATACTTTCTCAGATAATATTTACGAGTGTATACTCGAAACCCTTAAGTTAGCGAAGTAATATCCAACAGTTATCATGTGGGCACTTTTTTTAACAGACTACAGAAAGGATAAATGGTTGTCAGAGAACTTGCCCGCCTTATATGGGACTTATATGGACTTTAAATATGTTTTTTGAGGAATTAAACGGGGACATCTTCGTTTTATTTACGCAACGACGAATACTATCAAACAAGCTAAGAAATTCTTAAATTTCACAGTATTAACTGCTCATTGGCACTGATGGCACGAACTTGATGAGGCCAAACCAACTTAATAATAAATATTTATTTACCCATATGAACTTTCACAAAATACAATTAACTCACTTTTCTGCCCAGGAAAAGTGATACTAAAATTGTGCTTCCCTTTCTTGAACATCTGTGGGCCAGACTTCAGAGGTTTCAGAGAAAGTTTAGGAAGTTCGAGGTTTTCTTCACATTTATTTGTTACAATATTCACTGGAGACTGCTTTCCTCCAGCGGCGCATTTGGCAGTCAAGCACCACGTATGAGGACCTCTTTTATGAGTATTAATGTGCGCTTACCATTTTTAGGACCATATCCGTAATCGGCGATGGGGCCGCTGGTGCAGGCCATACCTTGGTGATAAATTCGACGATAAATGGTGCCGCACTTCTTATGATCTAAATATACCGCTTTAAGGGAAAACCTTGCAAAATGAAAAATATAAACAAAACTACGGTAATACTTCGCTTTTTAAGACGGTAAATA